TTAAGTAATTAAAGTTGGGCCATTTTATTTCTTTGATTTGAGACATCCCCCGATCAAACGAATTTTCTCCGTAGAGTAACCTGAAAAGTGGGGTGATGTCAACCATTTCATGTGCTCCATTTTTTACCCACAAACTCGGGGTTATCAACAGGACAGCCATAACCTGCTTTGAATAGGCTAAAGCAGCAATACCATTAAAAGTTGGTTAACGTAATTTTAACAAAATGTTTTGAAATATCTCGATCTGTCAGTGTCTGAAGTAAACATTTCTTGCATGCATTCATTTGATCTGACATTTAGGCAAGTTTACTTTCCCACCGTGACAACACTATGAGCTTCGTATATTTGTTTCACTTCCAAAGTAAGTTGCATAGCAGAACTGACAAATATTATTCATCTCACAAAGTGAATGTGTATCTGGATGGGTATCTGTTAGACCAGGTCTCTCTTTTTCTACTCTCCTCATACGCACAAAATATCTTATTATTAATTGTGTCCTACTACCGCGTGTTCGTTCAATATTTCTTCTTTGAACTTGAGGCATTTTCTGTTCTTCCAACAAAACTGATTTGAACTGTTTAACTTGGTCTTAACCTACTAAATATTACAAACATCAATATTTACTCCCAAAAAGCTACAGCTTCTTATAAACAGCTGTTTTTTTGTTTTAAATTTGTTCTATGTATTTCTTATGGGGAAAACCCGACCTTTGAGTGGGCCTCACGCTCTTAAGAGCAAGAATTTTAGAATTCTAGAACCTATTGCAAAACTACATATTGAGACGAATCTTTTGACACCTCAAACGTTGAAATTGGTCCACAAATAAGGGAGGAGTTGCGTTAACAAAAAACGGCTTCACGTATTATATATTATTATTATTATTATTATTATTATTATTATTATTATTATTATTATATTATTATATTATTGTATTATTATATTATATATATACTAAATATTATAAATGTGAAAGTTTGTGTGTTTGTTTGTTTGTTTGTTTGTGTGTTTGAAGTTCAATCACGCATTAATTACTGGATGGATTGGGCTCAAATTTGGCATGATGATAGCTCACATTTCCGATTAACATATAGGCATATTTTTATCTCAAAAATCCTTTCGGGCTCCGCCCCAGTGGCTCTAGAGTTTCCCATGTTAACCTTATGTGTACACATATTTAAATGGAATTAAAGAATTTAGTCAGCTGTTTCAACTAAAAAGGTTGGTTCTATGATATCATAGACAAAAAGAATTAAATATAGACCACGGAGCACCACGGTAGTTACGGCGTACGCGCTACGTAAACTACAGCGGTGTGCGCCGGAACCTATGGTAACCATGGCAACCGCAGTACGGCTGACAGTCTATATTTCATTCTTTGATGATATGCAAAGGCATTAAAATTTATAAGAATTACCAACAGGATGCAGCACTATTTTTTTTTCATTTATTAAAACAGCTAATTTGAACTAAGCAGCAACAAAAAAACTGTGATACACAATGAGAACTGTCTGTTTACAGTTATGTTTTTGTTTTTAATTTCACGAATAATTTGTGATATTTTGTGAATCTTTAATAATTTATTTTTTTCTATTGTTTGGGTGAAGTGGTAGAACATTATGGCTATGGTAGATGTGTAAAACTATAGTATACCGTGAATTTAAAGAAGCAAATTTTATCATTCTTTGTCCTCCCTCATTGCAAACGTTAAGCTTAAGTATAACTGTACTAAGCATTTTATATACTTATATGCCACTCCCGTACGAAGGACGGGTACTTTGCTAGTAATATAAAAGGCAAAGCCCTCACTGACTGACTGACTGACTCACTCACTCATCACTAATTCTCCCACTTCCCATTTACCTAGGAGGCTGAAATTCGGTACACCGATTCTTTGGGCATTAAATAGGAAAACTAGGTAGTTTTTATTCTGATCGGGCTTTCGGGCTTTGCCCCAGTGGCTCCGGATTTTCCCATGTTAAATCTTATGATTTTTCATATTTAAAAGGAATTAATGAATCTTAACAGCTGTTTCAATTAAACAAGTTGGTTGTTCTGTTCAATGATGTTCAATAGCATTAAAGTTACAAGGATTACCAAAAGGGTGCAGCACTATTTTTTTTTTATTCATGACAACAGCTAATTTGCAATTAAAGGGTGAGTGAGCGTAGCGAACGAACTTCAACCTGGAGGCGAGTTACCGTAGCGAACGAGCTAACCTGAAGGCAAGTGAGCGCAGCGAACGAGCTCCAACCTAAAGGTGAGTGAGCGAAGCGAACGAACTTCAACCAGGAAGTGATTAAGCCATACGAATACTTATGAAGTTAAACGAGGCAAAGCCCGCGGGTACAGCTAGTAGATATATATATGACTAACTATTTTACCTTCTTCTGTTCAGATTTTAAAGCAAATTAACCTTCAGTATAAAAAGTTTTAGAAAATTAAAATCTAAAATTTTTTTATAGTGTTGAGCAAGGAATTTTAAGTCTTGGGACAGCTAGTTGACTACTAAATATTTCAATTTACCACCTTATCCAGTCAGCTAATTGGTTGAAAGATCTATATATTTAATACGCTAGGCACATCATAAATTCTTTCCAGCAATGAAAGCTGAGTGTTTAACCGACTGCAAACTGCAAGAGTTGAAATGAAGACAAATGTTTATGTTGCAGAGTTGAATTTGTATGTCAAATTTCCCCTCCTGTTTTTATACTTACTCCCTTTTAGCGAATTTCCCTATGGGGAAGTAGCTATTTTGTATTTCTTTAGAGAATTTAATTTGCGACGAAAGAGAATTTATGTGTTTATGTAGTTCTTCTGCTTCAATTTGAGTGCCTTCAAACAAAATTTCTAATGAAGCATATAACAACCAAGTTAAACATATAAACAAATCAGGCATTTATCAAATTAAATGTTCAGACTGTAATAAATCCTACATTGGCCAAACAAGTCGTAGCTTTAAAAAAAGGTTCCAAGAACATATACAAGTGTTAAAATCAGGTAACAAAACGACAATGAAATCAAATTTTGCAGAGCACCTTATCGAAACCCGACATGAATACAAAAATATAAATGAAAATTTAGAAATTCTAGAATATGAAAGAAATAAAACAAAATTAAATGTCAAAGAAGATTTTCATATATACACAAATTACAAAAGATTTCCTCAAAATTTACTGAATACCATGATCATCAACAAAACAAATCCGATACTCGAAAAAATCCTACAATTGCAATAAAACAGAAATATTATATAATATACGCAAAATTAAACAAAGAATAGATCAAGATCCTCTAAATTTTAAGTAAGCTTAACATGTGACTATATTTTTTATTCCTTTCATTAATTTGTTATTGTATTTGTATGAAAACATGACTAAGTGTCGAAACATTTCGTTTCTTAATTAAAATGAATTTAAAAGGGTACTTACTTAATGTTGTTATAATGTTTCCAATTATTATTATTATATATATATATGTGTGTCCGATAACACGATAACTTGAGTAATTTTTATCTGATTTTGATGAAATTTGGTTTGAAGGTGTAAGGCGGGATAAACTTGAATGAGTTCGAGATCCAGCATGACCGGACCATGGGAACAGGGTTTTATGGGAGGTTTTATGGGGTAAAAATTGGGTTTTCTCACTTTTGACCCCCAAAACACAAAATTTCGCAATTTCTCTCTAAACCTTCTTAAAGGGCTTAAAATCCAAACAATTCAGTAGATCAAAGTGTTTTTGTAAGGTTATTGGTTACGGAGAAAACTACAAAAATTGTAAATTTAAAATTCCTATGTAAAGAAGGAGATCTTTAAGGAGAATATTGTAAAATGTTGTAGCATAGAATAAATATTACTTCATCTATGGTTGTAGTTTGCTTGTTTATGGATATCTTTTTATCAAACTTGGCAAATATTCATTTTATACTAAGCAATAATTATTTTACTTAAAACACACATTTTATTAGTTTCCTTGTAGCAGCAAACCTAGGTACTCGTTAAACCTAATGTTATAGATCAATTGAAAATCAATTCAGTCAAATGGAAATTCGCTTAGACGGCAGGTTTGCTGCGGCGGGGGTATTTTTGATAGTTACTGTTTTTTATACTTAAATACTTTTAACCAATTTTTATAAGGGTGAAAAATGAAGTCCAATGTTTTTGTTGTAGGCTACAGGTCTACAGTTGAATTTGAATGTAAAATTTCCTTCCTCTCTTTTTATACTCTAATGCCCCTTGCATGTTAATTAAAATATCTACCGATCGTTGGGTCTTCCAAACTGCAATTAAACGTTGGATCTTCCGATCGGGTATTTAACTATTGGTTCTTCCGATAGGCAATATAAACTTTGGATTTTCTGAATTTGGATCTTGTGAAGATGATCCATCTACTCCGTGGAATTTTACGCGGTTAAAAGATTTTTATAAAAGAATGTCCTACTTTTCGGAAAAAAGAAGCGGGAGCGGCACCAAACTTTCAGTGTTACCATTACCACTGTGGGAAAATTGATTACTCTCTAGGATAAAATTCGGTAAATATTTGGGAGCTTTTTAGGACAACAAAACTGCATCATGCTCAAGTGTAAATCCAACCTTACCAATATAAAATATAAATCTGCTTTAAATTAAACATGTTATATCTATGTATGTTATTGAAAGCTTAACGAAAACACGTTTACAGTACATATCGAATAAATTATTTGCTAGACAGAGTACTCAGACCAACCAGAGACTGAGATTGTAGTGGGTATTTAATTTTCTGGGAATATATATAATTTATCATGACCTGTTATTTTCAATTAAATTGAAAGTTAATTAAAAAAATTACTACTTTGATCAAAAATTACATATGCTACGCAAAACTTAGCGTAGCATAATGTGATCTTTGCTTTGATATTTCTGGCAGACAAAAGATGAATTATTATGTTAAGGGAAATTTCTGTCTGACCCCAAAAACAGTTGCATCACTGAACTGAATTGAAAGTGACGCAGCCGCAGCCTCAAGAAAGCGGAAAGCGGTTGGTTATATTTGGAATTTAGGTTTGTTTTTATCATAACGTTTAATATTAAATACATTTTATAAGTGTTTCGCAAATTATTTATTGAACTGTGGATTCAACGGTCTTTAAATGCTGTATAACTTATTGCTGATGGGCGTTCAACAGTTTCTAACATAATATTGTTAGATTTTCAAAGGTATAGTCTTCCCAAACAAACACCATCTAGGCCTAGGTCTTATATTATCCAGTTTTGTAATGCTCATTAGGCCTAATATTAATATTTTATGTACTATTTTATTGAAAACAAATACATGGTTAAGGAGTAGGTGACATTTCCTAGTAGGCTATAATCGGTTAGACAAGTGTAACTTATTATTTATCTTTGTTGTTTAAGGTAACCCAAACCAGAGTTTATTTACCTACCTACCTAGGCTAGAACCAGTCACATTGTGCCCAGTCACTTCTTACTTGTCTATTTTTCGAATAATTTTTTGCTTCAGTGCCAATATTGTTTATGTTACAAACGAGAATAACCCTCAGTTTTACTGAAGTTTAACAAAGATAAAAGTAATAGCCTATAAGACTTAAGTATATTGGATGTTTAACACAATTAGCTACCAACTATACTCAGAGCTCTTAGATACAGATTATAGAGAGGTGACGGTTGGTAGAAGACATGTTAACACATTAGCTAACTTACCAACTAAACTCAGCCCTCAGATTCAGAGAGGTGTGTGTGACCGTAACGGTTGGTATTTTAGGGGATGAGTTAACCCTCCGAGTGTCATGCGTCGCTGCAGCGACGCGTAACGCACTTTGTATAGTGTCGTGCGTCGCTGCAGCGACTCGCGAACACTGTTTACGGCGAAGGCTCTATGACTAACTGAATCGGACTGTACTGGATTGAGTTAGGTATCGTTCTTTCCGTAATATTCTAAGCTTTCTCCAGAGGTCTGTCTCTAAGCACTATTCATTTTAGTTCCGAAAATATTGTAGCAGACAGCTGACTGAGCTGACGTGCGTGTATTTGTAAACAGCTAGGTTACCCTCGGACCGATGACTGATGTGTTTTATTACGTTTATCATTGTTTTAGTGTTAAAAATCAAAAGTAGTGATATACGTGGTGCATTATAAGAAGATTTTAGTGGTTTTGAAGTGCTGGTTGATGATCCTGAAGAAGTAGGTAGTGATATTGATGTAAATTATCAGCCAGATTCCTAGCTATGGTTGGGCTATGCATTCTTAGCTAAACGCTATGTACTGAAATCTGTTTTTTGCCCATAACTTATTTATTTGCAAATCTACTTCCTTATATTATTATATATTTGTAATCCTCATAAAATTTAGAACAAAGTGGCTATTTTCAAATATTTATAGGCCTATAATTTATACAATTTCATTGAGCGCAAACTTATTTTTTTTGAAAATTTTTGAAATTATACATTTTTTTTACCTAAAAATTTTTTTTTTTTTTAAATCTTCCTTATGTTTTATATATAATATTGAAGCCCAAGATTTTCCAAACAAAATGGTATATAGAACAGTATAATTAACATTGTTTTTAAGCTTCTCAGATCAGTTTTAATAAAACCTTGCAAATGAGCAAAAAATAGGCTGACATTAAGGCCAAAACACGTGACACTCGGAGGGTTAAACTAAGTTATCTTACCTAGCTCTATTTTCAAAGTTACAGTTTGTAGAAACACTGGGGTACACTTCCATATCTGTTGGCACAAACAACCGAATGAGTAATATTAATCAATTATTCAATTGTTTAAGTTAAGTCGATATATCGATAGATTTTTTCATTCGGTTGCTAGTGCCAACAGATATGGAAGTGTACCCAAACACTGTAAACCAGGTGGTGTTAACCTGGTTGTGCATTTCTGTTGTGTGTCTTGCAGTCCTATAAACTTGAGGTTATACTGTGATCTATTTTTTTTATCAAGCTAGATTATATTTCATAGGCCTATGTTTAAAATTGTTTGGTAGGCAATAGTGTTAGGTAGACCTAATCCTCATTGATTAACTACACAGCATGCTTTAAGCTTTTAACTACCGGTACTGGGTATTGGTTGCAGTCTGATGAAAAGCTTCGCCGTGTGTTGCCTACCATTATGAAAAATCTAACTTGATTTAATTCCTAAAACATCGGCTGCACTTTAGTATCTGTCCTACACTCATTAGAATTAATATATCGATCAATTTATCAATTATTTCATTCGATATTGTATATCAAGTTTGGTTAGTTAGGTTAACCTAACCTAACCAACCAAATGAAATAATCAATAGGTATATCAAATAATTTATATATAGACCTAGCCTATCAATATTTTTCATTCAATTGATTGTAGAACAAATAAGTAACTAAAGAGCAGCCAAAACATCACCTCTGATACAAAAATAAATGCTCGGAACTCTTCAGAAACCTAAAGAGCATGAATTTTCAGACTATACAAACTTACTTTGAGTGTTTGGAAAAAGAAAAATTAAGTTTAAATATCAAAATAGAATTATTGATATTATTGTATAGAATTGCCTATAGAAGTGCTCTTCTTGCAGAGGATCGTGTTTTCGAGGTCAAATCGGCCATAGCTGTATCCGTTCTTGGCGAATTCCCGTGAGAAGTTTCTATATAGTTAGATAAAGTGGTGTTATTAAGGTCGACTTCTCAAAACGACTTGTCATAGTGAGGTTCTGAGTTTCCTCGTGATTTGGAAAAAGGTGTCTTATTGAGGTTATTTTAATAGAACTAGTTGTATTATAATTTAACATTGGGTAGTGAATTTTTCTAGGGGATTTGAAAAGTACTCTTAATAGATGTTGTCTCCGGGTCATTGAGGGTCATAAACGAGTTATTGTATTAGCTGGTCTTATTAACAATTGAAACAATGCTGAAACAAGACTGCACATGAGAACATTATTTAAGCAACCTGAAACATAATTAATCTGCGAAGGTTGTTCTATTTATTGACAATGTTAAGGAGTTTAACCATTAGATTTCTTTTGAAAATGGCCAACAATGGGAGTGTTTTTTTAGGCCCGCCTGGCCAGGGCGGCTGGTCAAAGGGGGCCTCCAGAAGCCAAAAAAATCAAATAGGCCTAAATAAATTTGTTTAATTATGAAAAGTTATTTTGTTTTACTGTTTCACAGTGAGGTAGTCTTGCAATTTTTTATAAACATTAACCTATTTTTTATTGAATTACAGTTAAGGGTAGCCCTTAAGTACAGTGATAGTCACTTGGTACTAGAGGATAGTCACCGATCTCACCATGCTGTGCACTGTTTGAATCAGCTCAGTGGCCAGCACTCCATGGTAGTGACGCGACCTTGTCGTGCCAGCGTGTCTGCGCCCTGTCTGGTCTCAAGCAGACAGCTTAGGCCTCCCGCACACGAGAGACTTTTCTTGGCCGAATGTCTGGTTGGAGTTGGGTGGACAATCGAAAAGTCATAAAGACTGTGCGCACACGCCACAACTGTTCATTCGTCTTTCGGGTGTTAAAAAGATGTATATGATAGAATCCACTGTCATATGTGCGTTACTGATCAGATTTTGTGCGTGAACACGTAAAAGAAAATACTGTGTGAATCCAATTTAGTCCAAGAACCTTGAAAGGCCAGATTTACCTCTTATACTCGGATTTGAAGAAATATCCGGACAAATTTTTCATGTACTCAGGAATGAGTGTTGATAGTTTTTAATATTATGGCTGAATACTCCTACAAAGACTTTTTATAAAGAGGGGGCCGTGCCTCCACTTCATTAATAAGTTTATCAATTTTTTCTCTTGCAAAACACTTGCACTTGACGCAGCCACAACACACTTGATTGTCAGCGTAGCGCTTTTCCGTTCAAACTAGTCTCTATGCCTATTTAATATGAAACGACAGTTGAGTCCGGGAGCAGTTAGCTGGAAAATCGGTCAGCCTCAAAATGCCCCGACTGTCTGGCTGCGGTTGGCCCGTGTGCATGCTCAGATTTACCCCTATGAAGCCAACTTTGACTCCCGACTACGACAAAATAGTAGGCCGAAAAAAAGTCTCTCGTGTGCGGTAGGCCTTAGCGCTTGTACTAGTGATAGAACAACCAACTGGAAAAAACAATCGACTCAAAGTCAATTGGTTGTTTTTAAAACCAGTTGTTTTTTCAGTCAAACGTAAAACGGAGCAAATTCTACCACAACAACAGGTGGCGTTCAACCGGCGCAGTGGTTTCAGTAGTTTCAGTCATTTCAAAGAAAATTATCGCACAAAATTTTACTTTAAACATTGGAGTTTTTGAGGTTGATTCCTATTGTTTGTTGTCATATGCAATATTACTTTGGTATAAAACGTAATGGAATGACAACATGTACAATTAATTTTGAAATATATAGTTTATTACATGACTGACAAGTTTTAAACTATTCAGTTGGCCTAATGTCTCTAACTTAGTAAAACAAATATTTATATTTATTTATTACCTGGTTTTTACAACAGATTTGATTATAGGCATTGACATCTAAATCATGAGTATTTTATATTTTTAAAAACAACAAAAATACATATACTGTATTTACATTGTAAGTATCCCTTAAAACTGTTCTCAATTTGTATACATTTATCTACAGTTTATCTACAACTGATTTCATTCGACCAGTCAGCCTCAACACCAAAAAGTCGAGTTTGGTGCTTACAACTAGTTTCAATTACCAATGCTGACAGTTTCCAGTCATTAGTCATTCCTACGTTGTGGGTTATGACCTATTGTTTGAAAGAGTACTGACATGTGAATCTTTCAGTTTATAAAATGAAACGTTTTATTATTTAAGTGGCTCAAGTAAAATAAAAAAGGATAGGAAATTGTTTTAAATAAAAACAAAGTTCAAAGAGTTTGAACTTACTGGTTTCAGTTCCGAGTCTGCAAACAGGTAGGCGAAAAATATCAGAAGTTTTTTATAAGCCTACTAGCTTAACTTAAAATACTTTTGAGTGTTTCTGTTTGTTTGTTTGCCTTTGTTGCTGAAGTAAAACGTGTGATGAACAGTAAATGTGCTTCATTCATAGATGTATTCGAATTTCAAAAGTGGTACGTGATATGCTTTTATTCCGTGTAAGGCAAAAACTCTAAGAACAAGGTTTTGGTCTTATTTTTAAATTAAAGACTTAAAACAATTTTAAGAATAGGCCTTTAAATTTTTTTGCAGCTATTGTA